CTTTTTGTGATTGCAAGTGCTGAAGGTTAAAGGGATATTTTTTTGTTTACTCTGAAATATCGGCTTGTGCAAGGCCAAATGTTGTAGCCGTTTTCAGTGCGATGGCTTGGACAAGTCGTGGGTTTGATTTGGGGGGGGGGGGGGGGAGGGCCCCTCTCCTCCTCCCCTCGGGGTCCTAAGCAGAACTTATTTTTGTGCCCCCCCCCCCCCTCATTTCTCTCAGTTTATAAAATCCTATTGAGATGAGGGAATAACAAATGAAGACAAAACCATTGCAGTTTGAAAGCGCTGGCTAACGAGCACGCAGTTTGCGCGGCAAATTTAGCGGGAAAATAGGCCCTGAATGCGTTAGTGATTTTAATGGGGGGTGGGGGGGGTGGTGGCCTTTTGTGATTGCAAGTGCTGAAGGTTAAAGGGGTATTTTTTGTTTACTCTGAACTATCGGCTTCTGCAGGGCCAAATGTTGTAGCCGCTTTCAGTGAGATGGCTTGGACAAGTCGTGGGTTTGCTTGTGGAGGGAGGGGGGGGGGTGGGAGGGCTCTTCTCCTCCTCCCCTCGATTGGGGGCCCTGAGCAAATATTATTTTTGTGCCCCCTCTCCCATTTCTCTCAGTTTATAAAATCCTATTGAGATGTGGGAATGAAAAATGTAGATTTAAGTAAAGGCATGGTCCTGCAATTGCGTGCTGGTGCCACTTGGTGGAAGAAGGGCCTCCACTGGAGGCAGCTGTTAGAGAGTCGCTCTGCAGGGGGTATCTTTGGCCTATTCTTCCACACTGACCAGACATCTTGTAAGAGGTGTTAATCTCCCCACGGCATGCGATCTGACGATTGACGAACTGTGATGAACCCGTTTCCACTGCTGAGTGGAGGGACGGCAGGCAGAGGGGGGTCCGCATCGTTTCCACTGCCGAGCCGGGAGTTTGACCTCCTGTGTCCTTATCCATTTTGTGTACAAGAACAGAGAGGGTGGTCGGATGGGAGAAGGGAGATGCAGACAAGTTGGCGGTGAGAGAGAGATCACAGTAATTGTGCGATTTATGTTGATTAGCCTATTGTATTGTTCAGAATTTCTAATATTGTATTGTTTAGAATTTCTAATCCTTTCCAGCTCGGAGCCCGCTTGCTTGCCCGTCGCCACATGTAAAGCCTTGTTGTAGCTGCTCTCTCGCTAGTTCAGCAGTTCCACTGTTGGATTATATTTTTTCCGCCTGAGGACGACCGCTTGTGTTGCGATCGAAACGTCGTGATTTATTTTATTTTCTACCCACGTGACTTTACCGAAAGAACCAAAGAGTGTGGATTCCTGCTTCAAATCAAGATATCATTTCTAATTGGAGCTAATAGTTACCGCGCCGATATATTTGGATCTGGTGCCCCCCGTGAGCCACTTGTGTGCCTTTGCTTGGTATAACTGTTGCTTCTCATCCACCACTGGAGGTTACACAGGCAGGCCACAGCGTGCCTTCGCAACCTCACCCCCGACACGTTGTTCCTCGGTAATAATATTCTGCCCCTTTTTAACATTTTCTATTGCCTTTTCACAATTCCAATTTGTACTGCTGTTGGTGTCTTATAATGAGATGAGGGCCTCCCCCCCCCCCCCCACCCCCATGGGCGTTACAGGGATGGCCCCCGGTGTCTCGGTAGAGCCAGCTCAGCGCTGTGACCTCTGCGCCACCTCTTGAGCGAAAAACCAAACGTAACGTGGTAAATGTTATTTTGTGTGTGCGTACGGTCATTTTGGGTAGAGGTTAGGGCCCCGCGCTACGAACTCGGCAACCCGAGTTCGATTCCCGCTCACGGTCAACACCAGTGGCGATGATCTGAACCGGTCATGGGTCTCCCTTGGGTCTACTAGTCTGAATTGAGTACCTGGTGCGATGTGTAAATATTACCACTGGGGAGATGAAGGCGATCGGGTGTGGTGTTGGTCAACCATCCCTTCGTGTGTCGTTCTGGCCTTTATAGGTGTTCGCTAACGGCGCTTGCCCTCACAGTCATTGGTGACCGCACTGAGGCCATAAACTCGCTACAGTTGAGAAACCCGGTTCAATAACAGCTCTATCAACGTGGAGCCGTGGGTCACTGTGCGAGTTCGTGGGTCGTTGCGTAAGTCATTGGTAACTGGGCTGTGATCATCAACTCGCTACACTTGAGGAACTCCTTTTATTCAGTTTATGTGTCGGTGGCAGTGGCGCATAGCACCACTGGCAAAAGCACAACACATTCGTGAATTACACTGCCCCTTAAAGTAAAAAATGTATAATTAGATGTTATGTTCTCCCCCTGTTCTGCAAAGAAACTGACCCTGCATATTGTACTGCGATATAAGAAACTTCCGCTATTCTGCAGCGACACTGACCAGTCGGCTGTAGGGCATTCTCAGTTTATTGTCGAGACGCAGTGGGTGCCCTTTTAGAGTACAGTATACAGGAGTACAGTACAGACTATCGCTAGCGCCACCGCTCGGCAGCGTCCTGAACCTCCCGTAAACAACGCACCCATCATAAGCGCACGCACGGGAAGGTGCCAGATGGCTGTCGGGATTTTTTGGGAATAAATGAACAAATATTTGTGTTTTCCGTCCATGGCAAACGCCGGTAAATAGAATCTTGCGGATGTCAAAGTGGCGGATAATCACGTCGCTCTTGCTGCGAATGAGGCTCATCCTGGCCTCTTGAGTTATTTTTTCACCTGGATCGTCAAAGCAAACAGACCTGTTCTTTACCTGAGGACGGCTGCTTGCTTTGTGGCCGTAACGTCGTCATCATCATCTTCCTAGCGTTGTTCCCGCTGTGGCGCAGGGTCCGCTTTTCGGCATTGTCTTCTCCATTTGGCTCGGTCCAGGGCATCTTCAGGGGATGCGTTGACCGTCTTCATGTCTTCCTTTATTCGATCCATCCATCGCTTCTTCGGACGTCCGCGTGGACGGCGGCCCTCTGGCTCAATACGCACGGCAGTCTTGGCCACTGATGACTCTTCACTTCGCATCACATGGCCGTACCACCGAAGCCTTGCCGAAACGTCGTGAGAATTGTATTTTATTTTGTTTTATTTTTATTATTTTATTGTTTCCCTTCTACGTGACTTTACCGAAAGAACCAAGAAGATGAATCCCTGCAGTCACGAAAGCTTTAAATCGAAATTTAAACTGGAAGCATTCAACAATCGTCTGCTCTCACCTCTCGTGTTTCTGCCCTTCGTCTCCCTGAGCCGCGTTTTTCGGCTTCGTGTCTCAACCCCAGCCGGGCAGAGATCCCCCGTGGTTTGCTTCCGAATTGATTTCGCGACAATGATCTAATTTTGACTTCGTCCAACGTTTAAAGGAGTAAAAAAAACGCCGCTGCTGTTGTTTTATTGAACAGCAGCAGCAGCAGCGTGCGTATGACCAGATCGCCTAGAATGTATGTTGAACTTCTTTCGCACAGTACATAGCCAATCGCGTTAATCGGAGGTGCGGGGAAAGGACAACAAACTAAGCACAAAAAGCAGTTCTTAATAAATTAGCTCTCAATCTAGATTTCAAAGTGCATAGCTCCAGTGGCTTTCCGAGTATCATCAATCCACGTTTCTCTCTTCCTGTCCATTTGTTTACCTGTATAGCCCCCCAATCTCTGCTGACATTCTAATGCCGCGTGCGTAGAGACCAGCAGTGTTTTGTTTTGCATTCTTGTTGCTGCTGCTGCCGTTGTCTCCCAGCTCTGGTTTACTGCTGCTACGTATTCATTGCAACACGCTACGCCACCAGGGCCTTATCACAGAGTTTTTGTTCACCGTTAGTGAGCGTTGCTGCACAGACGGGTAAGGAAGCTTGGTTGTTTCCACACCGAGCGTCTCTTTTCTGAAAACTTCCACCTCCTGTGAACTCCGCCGCAATCGCATTTGCTAGTTGGGTCGTTCTGTAACATTGTAAATAGTGAAAAGTAAAAAAAAGCTAAACGGTTGGAAGGTGCAGCTCTGTAAATTCCTGCTCGCACCACTGCTGGTCGGAAGGGTGATCACCAGAGGGAGCTCAACAGAGCCCTTCTCTACAGGTTATTTGGTCTACTCTCCCACGCTGGGGGGCAGGGGGTGGGGAGGAATTTAAGAAACTCGCCCTCCCCCATTGTTTCTACTGCCACGCCGGGAGATAGAATCGACCCAGCGACCTCTGCGTTTCTTGCCACCGCTCGGCGTATACGTGTGCTGTTTGTGTGCGCGTCTCTGTGAGCAGTTGCGCTACCGTTTGCGGAAGAGATGCCGCTGTCGACTGTTGATCTGCTCGGCAATCGTTAGCTGACGCGCTTTTGTCTCGTGAGACATTGTTAACGATGCAATTTATAATGCGCAATGACATTCACGGACGGAAAAATGACCGTGATACTGAGTTGGGGAGTCAGGCTCGGTGTCACTTGATAGCCAGGTGATAGTGGTGGGGCCTTTTAAGTGTCTCTTTAAAAGGCGATGCAGATTGACTGCTGCTGCTGCTGTGAATGTGCAGCGTTGGGACGATGATTGCCACGTTCCAGATGGCGGGGCTGCCACGGAGAAACGACGCCAGGCAGTAGCGCCGCCCAGGTCGGTGGTCGAGAGAGGAGAAGGAGGTGGTTGAGAGTCGCGCTGCTGCAGCTGCCGATCGTTCTCACGTGAGCCATAGTGCAGGGTGATGGGAGCGGAGAGAAACACGGTGGACGACCGAGAGTAGAGGCGCTGTGGCAGAGGCAGGCAATGGGAAACCGGCAGAGAGAGGCCAGGGAATCCAGCCGAGGATTTGCAAAATGTACGAACTACGATTGGTCGGCACGACCCTGAATACGGCGTTTGTTCTCCTCCGTTGCGCAACTGCTCACTCGGATGCGGGCAGTGGTCGCGGGCGACCGATTGCGTTGCACGATTTCGGGATTGGCGATTTGTTTGCTCGAACGATTTCATTGCTCGTGAGCCGGCTTCAAGAAATGCGCGGGGAAGGACGCGCCAACGCTGACGCGTGGTGTCCACTCCCCTTGTGTTTTCCCGCAGTAATGCGCGAGCTCGGAGGCACGTGAAGCCGCACCGGCGCGCGGCAACTCTCCGCCGGAGGACTCCGCCGGAGGAGGGGAGGAGGGGGCGTGGGGGAGGGAGGGGGAGGGTGCCCCGATGCGCGTGCCCGCAATGGGCTGCGCCTCCAGCAAGAAACAGCAGTCGGTGGGGCCCGGCGACGAGGAGGAGGAGGGGGGGGAGACCAACGGAGCGAGCGCCGAGAGGGCGCAGCACAACGGGGACGCGCACAAGAAGGGAGGTGAGCGGGCGGAGGAGGCGCAACCACCACCGTCGTCGGTGCCACCAGAGTTCGTGGGCAGCAGCGCCGTCATTAGCGTCATCGTCAGCAGCAGCGTCATCCTCATTGATATCATCTTCGTCATCGGCATCGTGAGTGGCCATCAACAGAGCGCAGGGCAATGGAGACGCGCGTTAGGGAGATGAGGGACGTTCCCACCATCATCCCTCATCATCATCGTGGTCATCATCAACCGCTGTCCCACACGAGTTTGAACTTCCGTCGGGCACATTGCGTGTGATGTGGACACAGGCTAAACTTATCGATTGGCGAATTAACGCGGCATTAAAACTGCCCGCCTGGGAGCACGGCTTCCGGGGACGCGTACACCTTGGGAAACGTGTCCACCGGTCCATGACTGTTACATTTCCCCTGTGTATGTCTTCCTTCCAGAATAATCGATCAACAATACCAATCGGTAGGAGTAGCTTGGTTGGCATGGGCCCAGATGCAATTAATGAAATGGACCCCACTGCTCACCACCCCCCACCCCTACTTGTGTACGATTTGTAGCCCAGGGCCTGGTGGGCCCCTCTGGCCCATGGGGGCCTGGTGCAGTTTTCACCGCCTGGGCACGATGAAAGCCACGTCACAGTTTTTTTAGTTTAATTTCATTGAAATATTTGTACTAGTTTTTTTTTCTGTACACGAGAACAAAGGCCCAGCAGCGGATATCCGCCAGGCCCCGTGTACCCTATGCATCCTGATTGATGGGAGAGGGGGGGGGGGGGACACGGACAACCTGGGACACAGTTTAGAGTTTTTAACTTTGGATGTATTTTCAAGGGGTCTACCTCCTCATCCGACCGTGAGTGAACAGATTCGGCACTCTTTCCGCCAAAAAACCACACACGAGATAAGGATACCCCTGTCAAATGATAGAACATTATTTTCTTTGCTGTGTTTATCTTGCGATGACTTTGCTAAAAAAAGAAAAATCTCGTGTAAAATCTGGGAATCTATCTGAAACAAGTTTAAAAAAGGGTTTTTCTTTATTTCAATGGCTTTAACTTTGCAATCCATTCCAGTGCAGCTCACGTTTTTGCCGAGGTTATTGAATTTGTTACTTGCAATGTTTTCCACATTTAGAACCCCATGTGTGGCCAATCTGGCATGGGCTGCTACCGTGCGATCCACCAAGCCTCCCTGCCTGCTCAGCTGTGCTGGAGCGCGCAGGCGGTGGCGGGCGGCGTAGCCACCGCCGCCACCCACGTGCACGTTTGCGTTTTCAGCCTTGGCTTGGTCGATTATTAACGCAGTAAATAAAAATTCGAAAACAACATAACAAAAAATCACACCTTGGCCCGTTTCTCCGCAGACAAACCCTCGAAGACGGACGTGGAAGGGCCGAAGAAAAAGGCCGCCGGCGCCGATGGGATCGGTGCTCTCAGCACCATGCAGAACCACCTCGCCGCCAGGCCCGATGCCAACGACCGATTTGCGGGGATTGCCGGGGATGCGGCGGCCGGGGTGAGCTGCTCCCCCCCCCCCAACTCGCCCCACCACAGCTCCTCCGGCTCAGACTCACAAACCGGGGGGGTGGGGGGAGCGATTCCGGTGGATTCAATCAAAACCCAACCCCCAAACACAAAGGAGCCAAGAAATAGAAAAAAAATCGCTTTGAAAAAGTTCCGTCTTACGGCGTGATTTGAATGAAGTGAGAGAGGGGGGGGGGGGGGGGGGAGTCGGCAGAGTGTACGTCCAGTAGAAGTGAATTCCACTGGTTGCCGTTGGGTGAACAGATTTAGCAGGGTTGGCTACATACACTGTGAAAGAAGTTCAAAATATTTCTGGTTTCTTTCGGTAAAGTCACGTAGAAGGGAAATAATAAAAATCGTACTACTAAAACATAATAAAGTTCTCATGACGTTTCGGCCACATCGCAAGCAGCCATCCTCGGGTGAAGAAACAGAGCTGTCTGAAAGACACCTGAGGACGGCTGCTTGTGTTGTGGCCGAAACGTCGTGAGAACTTTATTATGTTGTATTTGGATTATTTTATTATTTCCCTTCTACGTGACTTTACCGAACGAACCAAGAATATGAATCCCTGCAGTCACGAAAGCTTTAAATCCAAAGTTCAACATACATATGAGTGGGGATTTAACAAACTTGCTCTCCCTATTGTTTCAGTTGCTCTGCTGGGTGCCCACCCGACACGTGGCCCGCACGTTGGGCAGTCGTCTGCCAGGAGGGGGGGGGGGGGGGGGGCAAATTTGGACTGTAACTTCGGCACGTGATGGCCTGCTCGTTTCGAATAACGACACGGGATCATTAACGTCCGCTGTAAAGCAGACGGCCCGCAGTCTTTCGTGATTAACATACGGCGCAGTATTGACCAGGGCTACCTGCCGGAATCGAGATATAAACCTCCGATTAGCACATTTGGCTACGAATGGTACCGGAGAAGTTCTACATAGGAAAGAAGTTCTACATCCATCCGTACATAGTTATGAACAGGCTACCGCTGGGCCGCGTCACCGCCCTGTGTGTTGCGCTTCCGCAACAGGAACCGGGTCTAGCAGAAGGAGGGAGGTTTGGTGGTGATGGTGGTGGTGGTGGCGGCAACAACGACCTTGATGCCTCGTTCTGTTGTTTCTCAGAAGCTGGGAGTCGGGAGGCAGATCGTGAGAGATGGTCTTCAAGTGAGCGGAGGAGCGCGAGCCAAGTAAGGCATCCCGCTGCACGGCGTTTCTTTCCTCCTGAGCTTTTAATCGTTAATGCACGAGTTTTTGTCTGTCTTTCACATGGGCGGGGTGAGGGGAGGGGGGGTGGTCATGAGATTATTGGGTACGAGCAAAACTTTCCTGTCAAGTTGCATTGCTGTTGAGAATTTATCTTGCGGAAAAGCAGCCACATTGATGCGCACGATCTCCTTCGTTCCTATGTGGAAGATCCAAGACAAGCCATGCAACACAAACTGTGGACAATATCGACAATCTAGTAAACCCATAATGATAGAGATCTATTTAGAAACAATCCATAGCAGTGCGATTTTGGCCGTACAGACCTCCGCATTGGCATCGAGCTCCCCAGCACATTTGCCATGTGCAAGGGATAGAATAGAATCAGACATGTAAATAAAGGGCTAATACTGAAGTTTTTAAACAGTAAAAACAGGTTTTACCCTTTCTGACAATAAAACACGAGGTGTTAGAATTTGTTTAAACACCAGATAGATACCTTTTGCAAGGTATAAAGTCTCTATTAACCACACGTACTTTCGGCAAAACAAGGAAACGAACATGCTCTGATAATGATTTTTGCCTTGTCCTTGAAACTGATTGGCCTACACCAGAGACGTCTTTATGGCCCTGTCTCACCGGTGTGAGACCAGAGAACGCTTCAAAGGCGAAAGTACAAAGACAAGGCAAGTCTCGGAACATTTATAGCGCGGGTCGAGCAATTACATCTATGGGATACCTTTTTTTGCTAGTATCTAAAATGAACATTTTAACACCTCCTGTTGTATATTATATTTTCTTGCTGTGGATTTGACACCTGATGATGATTGCTTGTGTTGCAGTCGAAACGTTGTGAGAATTTTTATTGTTTTATATTTTTATAATTTTATTGTGTCCCTTCTACGTGACTTTACCGAAAGAACCAAGAATATGAATCCCTGCAGTCACGAAAGCTTTAAATCTAATTTAAAACCTCCTGTTGTGTTGCCAGAAAGGGTAAAGCCTATTCTTATTCATTTTCATAATTGTTGATATTGGCAGCAAAGATCCCATCGACGAAAGTTTTGCTACCTCTCTTACATGGAGGTACCAATTTCTTCTCTGGCATCTGCACGCTGATCGCCGTGTTATTTAACGGAGCCATTATTGTGAAATGTTAAATTTTATTGGTGCCAGGTCAAACGGAGGCGGGTTGAGTTCGTTGGGGAAGGAATCGCCGTAAAAACTGCTGCTGCTGCAGCAGTTTTCCTGTAGCCACAGGGCGGCCACAGGGCGGCCACAGGGCGGCCACAGGGCAACGAGGGTGCCGCCCGGCACTCGTGGCGCGGTGCCACCATGGCCTGGTGCCAGCGGCGCGTTCGCCGATCGTTGCGGGGGTTTTGCGGTTTGAATCCAGTGACCATCCTGATTAATACTGCGGTGTAAAATAGCCGTAACAATATTACTACGACTAACATCACGGTGGTCGTTAAAAATTCCCGTGCCAGCATTCGCAAGAACAGGCCCGTCGTGTGCAGGCGTTGGGGTACAACATTCGGCAAATTCGAAAGTTATCGGATTGATGATTATACACAACGGCAATCATCCATCGCCCCCCCCACCCCCATGCTACAGACAGAAGAATGCCCCAGGTCACCAGGAGATTAGACTCATCCTCATCTGTTGAGTTCTCATCTAGATAAACAAATTCTACTTGACACTCGTTCGTGTACCTGTGAACTACTGGCACCATCACAGGAGCACGGTTAATTGCAGTGTGTCCTAACATTATATGGGACGCTATATATATTTATAAAAACAAAGACCTCCCGGGTAAACTGTAGGGGCAATTGCTGTTAGCGAGCACCTATGAAGGCAGGCATGGCGCACGAGGGGGTGGGTGGCCTGCACCACGCCCAGCCGCCTTTGTCTCCCCAATGGCAATGTTTACATATTGCACCAGGTACTCATTTGAGGCTGAGTCGACCTAGGGGGGGGGGCCCAGGGACTGGTTAAATTTAAGGTCACTGGTGTTGACCGTGAGCAGGAATCAAAGTCGGGTCATCGGGTTTGTAGTGCAGCGCGATAACCACGACACTACCGCTCCCTTATATACACACACACAAACACACGGTGTCCCGCGTACTATTGTTACGTTTCTTACTCAGGAGAGCCTCATTAGGGGGGACCACGACCGCTGCGTTTCCCCCAATTAATTTATCGCGAAATAACTTGGAGCATGACACCGGCAAGTGCGTGGCCACCTCGTCTTCCAGCAACGACCGCCACGGTGCAGGCTGCCCGGAGTGTTTGCGGTTGATAACAACGCACCTGCGGTATTGGCCAAGGGGGTGGTTGTGGGTCTCAAATAGGGATATTTGTTTTGGGAGAGGTGGGGGCGGAGGGGGGTGGTGGGCGTACCCGCCATAAACATTTAAGTAAATTATATTCTAAAAGAAATTCGCACTGCCAAAGCTTTTGCACCATTGTGAGCCACGCATAGAGACGTAATGTGTGCCGATGCAGGTCCAGTCCAGTCCTGTACCGTGTGCAGTGACCAACTAGCACTGGATCGTGCGATCCCGAATCGCTTTGCGTTTTTTGTTACTTTTACGGTGGTTTTAGTTCCCCGTTGCCACATTTATTTTTATATTGCTGCTTTTTTTCTTTGTTACACATTATAAAAGAGCAATATAAATAACATTGCGAGCCATAAACGGGCTAAATAAAGAATGGGACCCTGCCACAATGGTGTAACAGCAGCACACTGGACTGGCAATCCAGAGGTCGTCGATTGAAACGCCACCATCCACCGCCTCTGTCCACGCTGTAGCATCACGCCGCAGTTAAGTCTATCGGCAACCCGCCTGCAGTGGGGAAAAAGTGTGGGTCCTGCCACCTCATCGAAGCTGTTGAGCCAGCGTGGAAGTGTAGGCCAAAACGCTGCCCAGATGGAACTCCGCAGAGCTCCCTCCTCTAGTGGAGGCCCGTTCCACCACCAGTGGCACGAGTGAGAAATTGTAGGGCTGCGCCTCTCCATGTCCTGAATTAGCCCGGAGTGTCGAGGACACACTCCAGTCGGAGGAGAGTGGAGGTAGCAGGAAGATGATGCTCGCCCGTGTGAAGACCTTTGCATTTTATTGGGTGGTGCCGAGCTGGTTGGCGCCAGACTTGGTTTATCGGAAGGTTGCGAGTGCAAAGTCCAGTTTGGGGTCGGGTCAGCTTATTGTCATTATCTGGGAGCTGATGACAGAGGTCACGGGCCACTGAGCCAGCACCGCTAAGAGCTTGGGTTCGAATCCATGTTTCAGCCACCCACTGTGATTAAACTCGGTTGCAATGCACTCCGATTAGCATGGTTGGCTACGTACGGTGCGAAAGAAGTTCTACATACACACTGCCCATAGACTCAACCACTGCCCATAGACTCAACCACTGCCCATAGACTAACACTGCCCATAGACTCAACACTGCCCATAGACTCAACACTGCACCATAGACGAACGAACACTGCCCATAGACTCAACACTGCCCATAGACTCAACACTGCCCATAGACTCAACACTGCCCATAGACTAACACTACCCATAGACTCAACACTGCCCATAGACTCAACACTGCACCATAGACTAACACTGCCCATAGACTCAACACTGCCCATAGACTCAACACTGCACCATAGACTAACACTGCCCATAGACTCAACACTACCCATAGACTAACACTGCCCATAGACTCAACACTGCCCATAGACTCAACCACTGCCCATAGACTCAACACTGCCCATAGACTCAACACTGCCCATAGACTCAACACTGCCCATAGACTCAACACTGCCCATAGACTCAACATGGCTCATAGACTCAACCACTGCCCATAGACTAACACTACCCATAGACTCAACACTACTCATAGACTCAACACTGCCCATAGACTCAACACCGCCCATAGACTCAACATGGCTCATAGACTCAATCACTACCCATAAACTCAACACTACCCATAGACTCAACCAGGGTTGCGATTTCCGCATGGAAAATGCGGAAGGAGGGTTCAAATTTTCCCGCATTTTTGCTAAAGTCAACCGCAAACGGTGGAAAGACAACTCCTATGACCGCGCGCTTTTAACAACACGTTAATGCGTTCTATTGGAAAGGATACATCATGTACATGTGCTCGTAATCACGGCTCCGCATTTGAATAAAGTATGTAGTTCTTGTGCGGAAATGCGGAAATCATATATTCATTCCAATCAGTAACTCAAAGTCCTACGTGATGCTGGGCCTTGCATGTATCCTTTCCAATAGAACGCATTAACGTGTTGTTAAAAGCGCGCGGTCATAGGAGTAGTCTTTCCACCGTTTGCGGTTGACTTTAGCAAAAATTGCGGGAAAATTTGAACCCTCCTTCCGCATTTTCCATGCGGAAATCGCAACCCTGGACTCAACACTGTCAATAGACTCAACACTACCCATAGACTCAACACCGCCCATAGACTCAACATGGCTCATAGACTCAACCACTACCCATAAACTCAACACTGCTCATAGACTCAACACTGTCAATAGACTCAACACTACCCATAGACTAACACTGCCCATAGACTCAACACTGCCCATAGACTCAACCACTGCCCATAGACTCAACACTGCCCATAGACTCAACACTGCCCATAGACTCAACACTGCCCATAGACTCAACACTGCCCATAGACTCAACACTGCCCATAGACTAACACTGCCCATAGACTCAACACTGCCCATAGATTCTACACTGCACCTTCGATTAGCACGGTTGGCTACGCACAGTGCGAAAGACGTTCAACGTATATACAACAGTGGGTCTTTCTGCACTGCCGTCTGTTCCTGCCCACCAACTTGGCCCCACAGGCCGCAACGCCTAGTGCTGGGCGCTCGCCCATCCCGCATGACGCAGGCTCAATGCCTGTTGAGCTTGCGCGATCCGACGGCGATCGGACGCATTGCGGGTGGCTTCGTCACAGGGTTGGTCCACGTTAATGCCGTTTTTTGGCTATGGTTGTGGCTATATTGCGGCTGTTGTCATCATTTCATTTCAGTTGCGGTTGTAATGTGGTTGTAGTTGTGATTATAATGTTTTTTTGTTATATTGTGGCTTCAGTTGTGGTTGTAAAATACTTATGCACGAGGTGTTGATGATATTAACGTTGTTGATATGTCACTGGTGGATGTTGATATATTATTGTTGATGTGAACAATTATCTTATTGTTGTCGATGTATATTTGTCATTAGATTGATGTTATGTTGAATCGTTCTTGGTGTTGATTTAGATCTGTTTTATCTGTTCATATTGTTACGTCACATTATTGTTGTTGTTGTTTTAAAGTCGGCCAGTGACTGTCGATCAATCCGTTTCGCTTGTGATTCACTGTAGCGATATCCCACGCAAATGCACGGCAGTGCTAGTTGGCGGCCTTCGTTTAACACGTATATCACGTTTGATCGAGTCTCAAGACCTTTTTTTTTAGGAAGGTCCTGGCAGGGTACGTTTGGCCACATAAAAACCTCGCCAATTGTGGCTTTGCCTCTAAACAGTTTGCTTAGTGAGGTCGGTTTTCCAGAAGACTGGGATGAGGGGAGTGATGTTTCGTCTATACGTGGTTGGACATTGCTAAGATTGTTGCGAAGATAGTCGTTCGAGGTACGTATGTTGAACTCTTTTCGCACCGTACGTAGCCAACTGCGCCCATCGGAGGTGCGGCCTTGCGAGAGATGAGAGAGCGTTGCGTCCGTTGGATGGGACTGCGGTGCGAATGAATTGACTGCGTGGAACCATTTATTTACCGCGTGTGTGTGTGATGATGTAACACACAGGGAACTCGACACGCTCCGCGCACAATGCAGATGTTCGCAGGCGCGTTGCCGCACGCATCTAGCCGTCCACATCGGGGTGGGGGGGGAGGCTCAGTGTTGGGGGAGGGGGAGAGCGGTTGGGCATGAGTGCAGCGGTGCGGGAAGGGTGGTGTAGAGACGGGTTTTGGTGATGAGGTGAAATTGAAAATAAAGAGTGTACACGCGCACGCACAAGGGACGGAGAGCGACTCCGCGCTCCTTTAGTACAACGGCAAGGGGGGAATTCACTTGGAATTAGTTCAACCGAAAGAGGGGGAGAGGGAAGGGGGGAGGGAGGTGATGATTTTCTACCCAGGAGCGCAACCCTATTTCCCAGCGCGGCATTTTGCAGGAACGTAACCCCCCCCCTCCCCCGGCCCGCGTTTACGAGGTTTCCCTTACAACGGTGGACGTTAAGATCCCTTGACATCGTTCGCAAGAGTGTGCTGCCTGCCACGAGTCGGCCAAGAGGGTCCAAATTCGCCAAATTCGGAAATGACGCCGCGGATCGCTCGATTGGGATCGCACGCAGCAGTCCCCGCCCCCGACTGGCAGATGAATGTCCCCGGGTCACTCTCTTACCTCTCTCTGTTGCTCCTGCTTGTGCTCAATCACAGGCTGCCGCTCCTTCTCTCGTTCACTCCCTCCCTCCCTTCACTGGAACACATTCCGCTCCACATTAGGCAGTCGCCTTCGCTCACTAAGTTTCCGCTCCTCACTCAAAACTCGCTTATTGTTTCCTAGCTCACCCCACGACCCCCTGAATCTTGCCCCTCATAACCACCACCACCGTCACTGTTCCCTCTTCATATTCTCATTGCGTGGCTGTCACTCGTTCCACATTCATTCAATCCATTCATCATGATTTACTGTCATCAGTTTCGCTTTCACCGAATTCACTCATCACAGATTCGCCCCCATTACTTCCCTCTCATCTGTTTCATTCACCTCATCTCGACCGTTACGTTCACACACACACTCACACGTGTTGTACCGTTCTTAATTCTCCATAAAGCGGCCTTAGTTAAGGCGCTGATTAATTCCGTTAAGATAACAGCTCGTCCTGGTATCTTGAGACCACGTCTGGCCTAACAGAATTGACTTGCACTTGTTTGCAGCCTGCACCTGTCGGAAAGTCAAATTGAGTTCTTCCGCATGTTGGATGAGAAGATAGAGCGGGTAAGTTCATTATTGCATCTCTACATCTGTGATGATGATGATGATTACTACAGTGATGTTGAAGATCAGCTAATCTGTGGATCATATTAAAGGTAAAAACCATTTATAATTTGTAACAAGCACAGTTTTAGTTCACTATCCGAGAGAGATAATGTTTCGGAGGCCACCGGCAAAACCACAAACAAATGCGAGAAGGAGCCACCAGCTCTGTGGTGCTGTATTAGAGAGCTGCCGTGGTGGTGTATGGGAGATGTTTGACCACGCTCCATGAACGGGTGTTTACATCACCCGTAGCAATATTGACAATAATGATGCAAATTTAAACCCGCACAGGGCCACAGATCGCTTACTCTAATCCCCGCTCCTCACAGCCTGTTGTGCTGCTAATACCTCCGGCTTGGGATTGTTTTGGTGAACTGCACAAATGGCTTAGCGAGCGGGGGGCTAACGCCAGGGCACATTTGCTCATTAGGAAAGCAATCCGTTGGACGAGCAGTCAAGGGTGCTAATTATGTACACCCTTTGCGCCGTCGTGAAAGGCCACCCTTCGTTATTGTATATAATGATCTTCCTAATGGTTTTGGCGCAACAATACGGCAGCAGACTTGAGCGGCCGACGCGCACCACCGATGTGTTAACACGGAGGCGTTCAACGGCTGCCTGCGATCTCCAGGAGAAAAACGGGAGGAAGTGCGCACGAGAGGGGCGGGGGGGGGGGGTAGGAGAGAGAGAGGGGAGAGGGTTATGGGGGAGCTTGTATGGGAAAGAGAGGAAAAGAGAGGGAAGAGAGAGGGGATAATGCCTTCGAGTAAAATCGCTAAATGGGGGGACAATGGTCGGGGTCAGGAGCGAATCAACTCGGAGGGATAATCTCTCTCCCATTTTGACGAGTTGCGTAACGCCAATAATACAAACGTTGATTTGGCTCCCGGTGGAGCCGCCTGCCCTCCTTTACGCCGGGGCGGCTCGGCGCTCCGCACAGCTCCGTCTCAACACCCCCCCCACCCCTCCTGAGTCTTAGCTGTGACTGAAGCCATGGGAGTGGGGCACAATAATTGCTGCTGTCACCGCCCCCCCCCCCCCCAAAGTTACCCTGTGCTGTGTGTTTTTTCAAACAACGCACCTTGCCGATCACTCGTCGTGTTTTTCTTCTCCCGGCAGGGCGCGACTACTGCTCTGACGACGAGGACGTGACATAGGCGAGGACCGCACCTCCCCCCCCCCCCCC